ATAACATGATGGAAAGCTTAAAAAAGTCAATTTTACATAATACTGCCCCTTTAAAGAAATAATAATAAAAAAACAGAATTGTACAAAGCATCATCACAGTTATTCTGTCAAAGGGTGATAGATAAATTGTTACATAAAGAGTGTTCAAATGTAAATTAATTGAAAAGAAGCAAGTCTTACATTTTTAGGAAGCTTCAACTATAAAGTATTTTAAAGAATAAAATGACTGAGTGCATATGAAAAATAATCTTTTGTATCAAAACATTCCCTAAACACTCACCTTGAGATTATTAAAAATGATTAAAGCTGCCTCATGCTTGCATTCGTAGGAATAATTTATTGCTCTTTACATTTCTATCTTTCTTACTACATTGCCACACAGACATGTAGCAACACAGCATTGTCTTTCAATAAAAGACAATGAAAGTAGAGACGGACCAGAAAAAACTAATCAGCATTGTAGAACGGAGTAGATATTTACAGTGAGGTAATTATTTTTCCCCAGTTGACTCAACACTTTTATTGACGGTGCTGAAAAACACGATCTCTTTAAAGATTCTCCCTGGGGAAATTCTTTTTGCCTTGACCGTCCTGGTGGCTTACAGGCTTGTAATTGTGGGAATTGTGATGGAGGCTTCATGGTTCAGTCCCCACTGCAGCCAACCTCATGCAGTGACTCCTCCTGCTGTAGTATTGTTGCTTATAGTCATCTTCTATAAATTACAGTAAACATGCCTATGGTGCTCGTTTATCAGATTAAAATAACAAGCTTTCAGCAGGTCCATTCGAAAAATGCTTTATTTATTGGTTTGAAGTAATATTTAATCTAAAATGTTTTCTGTGCTACCATAAGCAAAAACAATCTTCATAATTAGCAGAAATATAATCTATAAAACATAAAGATAACTTATGTTTCACTTATTGAATTACGCCGCTGAAATAAATGAACTTCTCAATGACATTTGAGTATTTTAAATGGGTCTGTATATAATATGTATAATATAATATTTATATTTCAAAACATGCTTTTTTACATTTTTGGGTTAAAACAGTAAAACCTTGGCATTTCTATCTTATAACCGCCTAAGAACTTCCACATTTTAAGGCCTAGTCCAAACCTCATGTCATGTGTGTCAAACACAAGGACAAATCCAGCCACCAGAAGTTCCTGTGTGGCCCTTTAGACTGTAGAAACAGAACCTTCAATATTACAGTTGCCTGCTTAAATATTATTTTATCAGTTAAATCAGCAGTTTTGTCTACATGCCGCCTTTCATTAAGGTGAAAAGTTGTTTGATAACATTTCATTTCAAAGAGTTCTCATGAATGCAGGTAGCTATTTATTAATATTTTAACAGTTTGTTAATGTTTCGTCAATAGGTTCCGCTATAACTGGCCCTTTGAGGCCGATCTCGATCTTGATGTGGGTCCAAATGAAATCGAGTCTGACGCTCTTTCTGTCGGTCCATTAAGAGGCTCCTGGTGTTTCCATACACTCCCTGCTCATCCACCACAGGCTGCTACTCTGACCCTTACATCTGATCAGAAAGTGCTTAGTATGTATCATTACTGAATCTCATCTCTGAATTAAAAATGAGATCAGTCTGGTAGTGTAGGTGTTATTGTAAAGAAACTTTATGGTTTTGTCAACTTTTTAAAATCTAATTTATCCAACTTTTAGAAGTAAATAGATAAACATGACAGATCCTCGCTCTGTGATTTAAGGTTGGAAAACATCCAAAGTATATCCAGTCACATATCTATCCATCATCAGGGCTGTCCACTGAGTCCTCTGCTGTTTGGTACGGAGCACAGGGTCTCACTTTACTCTTATGACCTGTAACTCTTCCTCTCATTCAGTCTCACTGCCTTCTGTTCTGTTATTGATCCAGGATCTGGAAAACATTCAGACTCATTAGGTTCCAATCTAACAGAAAACAGGAGAAATTCTCTGAAATGATCTCATGTCAACTCTTTTTGAATGCAGGATTCTATGGTTTTTATCCACAGGTTCTACAAGTAATCAAACAACGCCACGCTAAACTTACATTTTTTTGAAGTGTGACTTGCAGACATTTCAACACGTTTTTGACATCTGGACTGATCAAGCACTCAGCTTTATTTCAATATCTAAACCTCCTGGACATGTTAAAATAATAGATTTGCTCAACAGTTTGTTTTTATTTTTCTTAAAAAGCAACAACAACAACAACAACAACAACAACAACAACAGCAACAAAAAAAAACACATCAGCACATCGTTCAGCATGTTAGACCCAGTTTAGGTTCAGTTCAACTTGAATTTAAAGTTGTTTCAATGGCAAAATTGTCTCTTTTTTATTTTTGTAAATGTTCCTTTAGTCAGCAAGTCAAAAGTCAGAAAAGCCAAATTTGTTAGAATCAAAGTGAAAAAGTGGCAAATAAAAGATTAAACATGTCAGATTGAATTAAATTAATGAGGAAATCATTACATTTATGAAGCATCTTTACATTTTTCCCTTCAAATTTTGGCAGGATTTTTTATTTTTTTTATATTTATCCAGATCTGGAAAATAGCAGAAACAGATTTCACACATTTCCAGGAGTTACAAGACTGTAGGAAACCTGAGAATATGCAGGATTTCAACAGTGATCAGGAAAAAATGCAGAGAAAAAAAAAGGAAAATTATTATTTATTATTTATATATTATTTATTTCTATTGTAAATGTCCTAGTTTCAAACATTCAATGCAACTTCCATATTGTTCATACATCAGTATGCAAATCGAGAAAATGTCTACCTAACAATGAGGTATGTTAAATTACCTTTTTAATTTAATGCTATTTTTTTAAATGTTTTAAATATTTATGTGCAAAGGTCACGCAGGTCACTCCTACAAGGTCAAATTGAACAAATTAAACTAGCATCTACAATTATTTGGAAAGACCTAAAAAGTATTTATTACTAAGAATAATAAAAAGAAAATTCTTTTTTAAAAATTAAACAAGTACTTTCTAAAAATAAATCTGTTTAAAAACTAAAGCCTTCCTCTGTTTTATTAAACTTTTTTTTTACAACGCAATTTCAAAATAGAGTTTTTCTACACCAGTGTTAAAATATTAACACCTCCAGGTAACTGAAACAATTTTTTATTGTGGACACTTTAACTGTTAATTAATTATTGAATATTCATTTGGATTTCGCTCATATTGCTACACCTGTCAATTAACAAGCATACCAGGCTTCCCCTTCCATACAGCTGAATGCCTGCTTCGCAAAAACAGTCAGTCAGAGCGGCTACGCAGAGAGACGGAGAAAGACGTCTTTTCTGGAGATTCGGACATAATGTGGCAGAAAAAAACCAACAAGCGTCCTGGGCCATTTCTGTCTAACGCGCATCCGTTTTGACAGGGGAAGCGTGTCCCGATGGCCTAACTATAACTTCTTATTTGTCGCTCTTCCATGAAAACGGGGGCAGAGAGAAAGGATGGCTTGGACAGACCTGAAACGACCGTAGTGACCCAAATTCCAATTTATGACCTTAAAATGCAGAAAAGCGTTCAATTGATGGCGACCGCGCTTCTTACGTGGGAATGATCGCAGGCTGCTGCAGCGGATCGCAGTGAATGAGATGGGATGAGTTCGGAATGAAAGCACTTGCAGAGATGCTGCAGTGATGATGCTATGGCTGGTAATTTTCCCTCTCGCAGCCAGGCCTTATAGGACAGCGCTGAGCCATCAATTCTCTCTGACCGATCAATGCTCCACAGCCCGCCGCTGCTCGGCTCTTACCGCGGATGATGGCCGGCGGCGGTGTCCTCGGTGTCAGATGCCGGAACAGACAGAGTGGCAGACGGGATCACAACGCTGCACGAAGCACACCGTCCCGCTGATGAATGAGGAGCAGTCAGACCGGTTCTGTCGGAGAACCACCGGAGACATTAGTCACAAGCCCCGCCCACTGAAAGCCCTACGTCACCGTTCGAGTGACGCTTCGGGTTCTCAGTGTTTCAATGTCATTCAATACCAAAGCAGCCATCCACTGTCCGGACTCAGACTGGGCTGCCGACAGCGGGCCGGGCCCACCATTAGCCTGCATCTCTGGTGTAAATGTCCAAAGAAACCAAAGATTTTAAATTAGGTATTAAAAACGCAAATATTAAAAACTGGAAATAAAATATTATTGTTTTATAAATGTCTGCTTTACAAATAAAAGCTGCATCTCGGTTTTTTTTTTCTGTATTCAGAACTGAAGTCTTCAATTTTTCATTAAAAAGTTAAATGAAATGTTGTCTCCATACTGGGACATCACAAGCATTTAAAAAAAGAGGGAAAAAAATTGAGCTATGCTCCCCAAAGCTGAGGGAAGCTATCTCACATTGTGCTTGGAAAATATTGCAAAATAAAAAATACACTTAGTTATTTGATTTAGGAATACATGTAATAACACGTATAAGGACTTAGTATCTGGTTTACAGGTTTTAAAACGATTCACATGTAATGTTAAGCGAACAAGAACAGATGAAGAAAAGCCGTTTGGTGGCTGATGGTCTTCATGTTGAAACCATTTCTGTTATTTACTGCTGCTACAAGCTGCAGTTCCAGTAAAACTCCAGACCCCATTATGACTGAAGTACTGAGGACATTCACACATGTGCAAAAACACATGTGTGAGAACCAAAATAAACAGAAGCAAGAGTTCTGACGGAAACTAAGAAGAGAGATCATATTTCTCCTATTTTAGCTTCACATCGCCGCCTCCTTAAGTGCAGAAGATCCCAGTTCCAGTCCATGAGGCAGACAGACACCCTGAATGCTTTTAAGGCTAAGCTTAAAACTTTCCTTTTTGATAAATATTATAATTAGACTGGCTTAGTTTAACTATAACTATAACTATCACAAGTTATAGTTAGACTTAGGGAGGACAAACTGACCCCACTTTCTTTGCTACTCTCCAATTTACATTTTCTCCCAGCTTCGTTTCTCCAGAAGCTCCATCTGGTCTGGCATTTGGTTCTGTGATAACGCTGCTGTTGACTAATTGTTCTCCTGCTATTAATTTTATACTTTTATGAACATAGAGCATACTCCTACATCAGCTCATCTCTTTCTTTTTTGTGCATTCTGCTCTGTTTTCTCAAACTTCCAGATGGTCGTGGCAGATGGTTGATCATACTGAGCCAGGTTCTGGTTCTGCTGGAGGTTTCTTCCTGTTAAAGGGGAGAATTTCCTCTCCACTATCACTACACGCATGCTCAGCATGAGGCGTCGCTTAAAGTCAATAACTCGACACAAGTAATTTTCTCTATGTTCTCATCCAGGAGGAGTGAACGCTGCAAGTCTATGACTCGATTCAGTATGGTGGGTTTCTTTAGATAGGAAGAGTGGAGATGCACAGAGCCATGTTGCTAGATGTCCACTGTGAAGTTTCCAGTCTGTGGTGGTTTGTGGTGCCACATCATCTGCTGGTTCTGGTCCGCCGTGTTTTCTGAAGAGCACAGTTTTTCTGGAAATCCTACAGCGTTTATCCTTTGCTGATAAGTTGTGTGGAGATGCTGGTTTTATTTTCTAGCCCCTCAGTGCCCACGCTGCCAAAGGTACGAAAAGCTGCTTCAGTGACCAAGGTGTTCTTGTTGTTGACTGGCCAGCAAACTCCCCTGACCTGAACCCCATAGAAAATCAATAGGCTGCTGTCAAGAGGAAGATGAGAGACATCTGACCAAACATTGATGACCTGAAGGCAGGTATCAGAGCAACCTGGGCTTCCATTCCATCTATCCAGTGCCACAGGATGATCGCCTCAATACAACAGTGTTTATATATATATTTTTTTTTTTCAATTTCAATTGGTATCCAGGTGTTTGTTGTTGCACACACCTTTCATGATCCATGAAAAACCCCACAGCTCCTGTGAAACCTCTCCTACTGTACATCATGGTGTTTTAGCAGTGAGGTTTACAACAGCACACTAGAGTAAACGTATAAAACTATGATTTCACAGGTTCCTCCTGATTAGGAAATTATGATCGACTATCTCTGGCCCCCATTTAGGGCCCCGTGATGACCTTGGGGAGTCATACTAATATAAAAAGCCAGGCAGGAAGGGGGGCTGGAAACATTTTTAAAAAAGTGGGTGACTCACAGGGCAAAATATTGACATCCATCCATCCATCCATCCATCCATCCATCCATCCATCCATCTTGTCGTACTCAAAGTGTGAACTAGAATATGAATTAGAAAGAAATACAAACAAAACAATAAACCAAAGGAAAGAGCCAAAAGGAAAACAACAAAAAAGTATAAACTAAATGTTGGTTCTCCATGTTTTATTCTATAAAATAGATTGATCTAAATGTTTGTCTAAGGCAGGGATGTCCAAAGTAGTGGTTTTAACACACCTGCATCAAATGATGGCTCATTAGAAGGCCTAAGGATAACATTGACTTGCTGAGGAGGTTGTTACCACCACCAGGGAGAGAACTAAAACATGCAGGATGCCGGCCCTCAAGGACCGACTGTGGACACTCCTGGTCTAAGGTAATGAATAGTTCATCCAGATAAACTAATAGGAGTTTCTCTAGATTCTAAGTTTGTTCTAATTCCTGGTCTGGGTTGAGTGAAGCATCCTGTGGATCTTTTTGTTTTAACTAAAAGGTTTTAATAAGTTCGATTCCCGGCAAGGGGTCTTTCTGCATGGAGTTTGCATGTTCTCCTTGTGCATGTGTGGGTTCTCTCCAGGTACTCCGACTTCCTCCCACAGTCCAAAAACATGACTGTCAGGTTAACTGGTCTCTCTAAATTCTCCCTAGGTGTGTGTGCATGGTTGTTTGTCCTGTCTGTCTCTGTGTTGCCCTGTGACAGACTGGCGACCGGTCCAGGGTGACCCCGCCTCTTGCTTGAAACATTCGCTGGAGATAGGCACCAGCACCCCTCCTTACCCCACTGAGGGACAAGGGTCCCATCACTAGTGGAACAAGTCAGCATCGGGCCGGGGGGCGGGGCCAATGACCGGGCCCCTAAAGAATGACTGGGCCCCTGACGTGTATCACCTACGCTGCTGGAAACCGTTGAATGGGGGGGCGGGATTGGGCCGCGTTTGTCGTTAGATTTTTACCCAGGAAGCACATCGACTAAACCGTGAGTGTAACAGTCACTGGGACTGACTATATTCCATTGAGGGAAAGTAATTTTAATATTAAATACACCCTTCTCAACAGGCGAGGGTGCACTTTCTCCGTCTATAATCAGACATTAAAGCGACTTGAAACCATTCCTCCCTCCCTGGCTCCTCCAGACCCGAGCCCCCATGGGCAGCCGCCCCCAAGCCTTCCCTATAGCTCCGCGCCTGGGTCCCATCCATCCAAAAATTGATTTTGATTGATTGATTCCTGTTTTGGGTTGAGTGAAATAAACTAATTGTTCCTGTTGTGGGTTGCTAGGCAGAATAAGAATAGGCAAACCAGGAGTTTTGCCTGTATAATCTAATAGGAGTTCATCTGGATATTTTTGTCCTAACTAGTAGTTTTGAAACCTGTTGTGGGTTGAGTGACATATACAAACTAGTGAAAATATTTCTTTTTATTTTCTTTTCTTGAGCTACTGTTCGTATTATCCACAAAGTGGGGTGACCTAATCTGAGTTGATTTAGTATATTTTTATGATTGTTTATGAGAATATGTTTGCATTTTGCAAAAACTCAATTTTTTAATTATTATTAAAGAGAACATTGTAACAATGCTTACAATAAAGATATAAGTGTGACCCAATTTGTTGTATGTATTGAAATGATTTTCTACAATTCGAAAGTACAGAGTAAAATATACAAATGTTAGCTGTCACTATTATGGCTGAAGATTAATGTTGATTCCAATACATAATATTTGCAGTCTATGATACTGATAAGTATAGATATCTATTTCTCAAAGATTTGTGATTCAATTTCAAAACAAAATATTGAGTAAATGTAAGAAAGGTAATTTGTGAGTATAATATGAGTTATATTGGAGGTTTTCTGTTAAATAAATGCAGATAAAGTACCTTAATTTAAAACAAAAATATCTGTTAAATTAAAGATTTTATGAAGGTCATCTAGTTTATAGATATAATGACATTTATTAAGCCTCTGGAGAGTACATGAGATAGTGTTCATATTAAGCGAACGTAATAATTATTTAACAGTGAATAAAAATGAGAAAATACATTCTAAAAGCTGATGTTTCTTTACATATTTTGTAGAATTGCCTGTGGGTTTGCAAAAGGGTTCCTCGCTCTGACGCTAATCTTGTTTTGGGGTCATGACATGGAAATGCTTGGGGACACCCTGTTTACATAAATAACAAAGAGTGAAACACGCACTCCCCCTGGTGGCTCCCTGTGAATAAAAGTTGGAATGCACAGTACTACACAAATTAAATTGGATTATAATATGATTTGGTTGGATATTGGTATATATGAACTGGATGTGTTTTTTTTTTCTTGTAAAGTTCCTTGACATGTCACATTTTGTGAAATATCACGAATTAAGTCTTATAGATTCCATAGAAAGCAGCTTGTGGGTCTGCTCCTTTTCCTGTCACTGCATTAACAGAATGAGAATTTATCTCCTAACAAGCAAAAATAACATCGCAGAATAGAATTAAAGAAGATAGAACAGCTATGATTATGTCATCAGTAGATTACAGTGAATAGGAAATACGCATTGGAGAAATAGAATAAAAACAATAATTGCAGTAATATAAAGGTTACGTTCTGAAATACATTAAGAGCACAATGTCATTATAACACTGACATATCTATGGTGTTGAAAAAGTTTCTCTGTTTCTATCACACATACGGTGCCTTGCGGTGTCAAACTCCAGTCCTCAAGGGCCGGTGACCTGCAGTTTTTAGATGTGCCACAGGTACAAAACAGTGGAATGAAATGGCTTAATTACCTCCTTCTTGTGGAGAGGCCTGCTGCTAATGACCTAATTATTCTATTCAGGTGTGGTGCAGCAGAGGCACATCTAAAAGTTGCAGGGCAGTGGCCCTCCAGGACTGGAGTTTGACACAAGGCGGGCGCGCGCCATCAGACACCGCTTGTGTGCGCCGGCAAGTGCGCCAGTGTTGTAATGGAGGAGACCCGAACTTAACCAATCTGAGCTATGACAGCTCGGCACGTGACGCAGAGTGAGTTGCTACTGTGGCTGGACGAGTACACATCGACATTTAGCAACAAAAACAATCGCACTTTTCAGGTACGTAAAGACGTTTGCTTGCCCCTGGGTCATGTCAGCCCAGATAAAGTTTTGCGAAGCGGGCTTTGATATGTGTTTCTCTGAACTGTGAGCTAAAAATTAGCTTCATTTGTAGAGCAACAAGCTGCCGTTTGGTGAGGGCCTTCACTATTTCCTGGTCCAGGTCCACAGCTGAGACTGCAGCTGGGTGCTAACTTTAAAAGGGTTTTAAAAGGAGCTGTCTCGCCTTTTGCTTCTGTGCTCGCACCTCTGACGCGTTCACCGGCTCCACAACCTGTTCAGTAAATTCTGATGCAGCCATTTGTATGCTGGTAGGAAACAGCTTTAATCTCTATTGTTGCAGCCTATGTGCTCACATCCAACTTTTGAATATGCTCTGTATATTTTGGGGTGCTTGCTCTTCTTTGTGTAACCTTGCTGAATGTAGGAACTGCGAACCGACAAAGTGAGAAATGTTTGAGAAAATGAAGGTACTTATCGTAAGGTATCGTTTCACTGCATCACCTGTGGACTTTACCTACATTTTGATTGAAACCTGATCAAAAATAATTACTCGGCAGAGCAACTCCATTTATTTATTTTTAAAGAAATGATGCATTTCTGCTTTAATTTTCTTTTTAACATTAAATCTGAATACCAGTACTAGTGGAAAGGGCAGAAAAGGACATTTTCAATAAATTATTTGAAATTTTAAGATCGTTAAATCTTTTCAGGACATTGTGTACAATAAAAACAGTACCAACTCTGAGATTCACATGTATCTAAAATCAATGATGGTCTTGATTTTAAAAAGCAGACTATCATTGTAAAAGTTCAGTATTATCCACAAATTAGATGTGATAAAGGCATCCAAATCCCAAACACAGCAACTCAGAAAAAACTTTATTTTGAATACTTAATAACTCAAAGAAATTATTGATGAGTCAAAAGTGCTGTGGGATAAGTCTCTGTTGGCTCTAGCGACAGTTATTTGAAAGTGGTCAGACAGGAAAGTGAATAATGGGAGAGAAGACATGTGGCAAAGGTCATCAGGCCACGAAATGAACCTACAGTGGTCACATCGAGGACTAAGACCTCCTTATGTGGGTTGTGCTCTACCCCTGCACCACCACAGCACCCCGGTATTTTTTTAACCTGTTCAACAATGAACCAAGCCTACAATATTCTGATTTTAAAAAGAAAAGTGGTAAAACCTTTTACGTCGGAAAGGAATGCGTTTGCCTCTGTCAATCTAACAAACTATATATTTTCTACGTTTGCTAGCAAACATAAGTATCCTGTTTCTAATTCATTTTGGCTGGATTGCTCTTGTCGACAAGAGGAACCAGATTATAGTCAGTCTTCCTTGTATTTAGCATATAATTAATTAAAGGCATATTTGGGTGAACCAACATGGGCTTTGGAGTCAAAGTCAGTTGATGGATGTGGTCCTGTTTACCGGAAAATGAGCCCTCGAACAAAACACTAACGCACGTAATAAATGGCTGGAAAACTGAGGTAGGCTCCATCGAGTCAGATGTGTGTGTCACACTGAGGACGCGTGCAGCAGAGATTTCTACCACAAGATTTCATCCTTAAATCAGAGTATCTAGGCCTCAATCTGGGATATAAAAACTGACTTGACCACCACTCTGACTGAACTAGGCTGCTGTGGACCACTTGTTTGCCGACTTAAACTGGATGAGAAATATCAATTTCTGGAGGGTCGCTCTGGGAGAAATATTGTTAGGTTTTCTGGCATTCTGGTCCGCATTTATTTCACGGATCCTGGCTGAGGGGCAGTTACTAATTTAAAATGTATGTGTATGCATACATGTTTGAGCATTGATTTATGACGATGTGTCAGACAGTTGAACAGTTGCTAGGTTAGCAGTAACGCTAAAGGGAAATATATTGGTGTCTTGTCAGTTTTGCCTCCTTTTGCTATTCACTGAGTACTTCCTGAAGTCTGTTTGCGCTGCAGCTCTGCGAAGTCCTTTCTCATCTTGTTGGCTGAAGTGGCCAGACATTTATTTGTTTTAATGTAAAAATGTTCTATGAGAAACTTATTTGGGATTTCCCAGGGTGGGTCCCAGTCCCACCCTGTTGCTTTAAGTAATGAGAGCCATATAATATTTCTGCTTCTCTCTTGATATGACTATCTGGAATAATGAAAACCTACAGAGTGGTAGCCTGGCCATTGCCTTCCTTACGTAGTCTGAACTTTCTCCCATTCACTTGGATTACCTCTGGTGGGTTTTTACTGATCCAATCAGTAAACAGGAGGAGACGTTGTGAACTGTGATGTTGATTTTCTGCTTTTAGAATTGTAGTTTTAGCAATGGTGGTGAAGGAATCCGTTCAGTCCATGTTTTTCACGCTTCCAAACATAAAATTAACTTCAACAGTTGCCTTGTTCAGGTCGGTTCTTTGCAGTGGAGGATGGTTGTTTCTGGTAAGCATCATAGCGTCAAATGTCCGCATTGCAGACAAACGTTAGCGACTGGCTAAAATGTAAAACTTCAGCACAGTCCACACCTCCAGGAAGAAGTAGTTTCTCAACGACTCAGAGCCCACACCCTCTATATGAAGCGGCGTGTTGAACAAAGGCCTGGTTCTTGCCAGCCTAGCAGAGTGGTAGAAAACTAACTTTTTTTATTAGCTGAAATGTCAGGTTTAAACTACCCAGTTCAACTCTGCAAAGTCCTTTTTCATCTTAAAACATTAACAGATATCACATTTTTGCAGAAGATTCATTTGAAAGCTAAATGTTGTGTACAATTAAAATGTGGGTGGAGTTGCCTACCACCTTCCCAGAATGTAGGTGTAGGAATGTAGATTAACGTGCTTCCTGCTAAAACGAGACGACTGTTATTGGTCTCTGTTAAGGGATTTCTTGTCCAGTGATGGAAGACTGCTCTAATGTGGGATGCAGGCTGGCTCTTTGCTTGTGCTTTCATGATGGGTGGTCACAGCTTGACCAGCTTGGTCTCTTTTGCATATTGTAATAGATCTTCTGCAAAGTGAAGCTTATCTTCACTCAAAAGCAGGTCTTTGTAGCCGTTCAGATGTTTTTGTCATTGAGAATCATGTTTTAAAGGCAATCATTTGGGGAGCATTCTGTTTTAAAGCCTCTAAACTACTAGTATGCTGTCAGGCTGCTGCTGTGGGATTTCCATTTATTCATTTCTTGTGTAAAACTCTAACTTATCTATTGGTTTTGAAGTCTGCGCACTTCTATTTTTAATTACCCACTTCTTCTTTTGTTAAATGCAAAGTTCGTTGGTATTTTAACCCATTTGATCTGCATTGCCATCATTTTTTTTAATTCAGGAATTCTAGCATTTTTACCTCTAGGGGTTGGCGATTGACACATATCACAATTTTCATTGTAAAATCACAATTATGAGTGGATCACAATTCCTATACATACAACTGCCAAAAGATGTTTCTAAATTGGTTTGTCAAATGCAGAATTTTGCTAAATTGTCAAGCAAATTGCTGAGTCTTTTTTGTGGAGCTTTGAGTCAGAGCTATACAGTTATTGACATTTTTATAGTTACCACAGTAAATGCCACAAAATATTTGGAGATCAGATTTAACTTTGGTGTTGTGTCCAGTGTTTCTGCGTGGAAATGGAAAATCCTCGTCAAAAAGCCTTCCATTTGTTCTCGGTGTGAACAGCTCGGTTTGGGCTCCGCTAAAGTCTTCACTTTGATGGTGCAGAATAAAAGGTTCCTGCATTGAACTACTGAGACCCTTGATAATTACAACTATCGTATACATTATTCCACTTGATTTCTGCTCATGACGTCTAAGCCTGTGTTTTGATTTCTCAGACTGCGGAAGCCACTCACTGAACGATGGCCTCACCCGTCTCTGAGTACCACTCCAGCTCTCTGGATTCTCGCATCACTAGTGTAGGTCGAATTTGTTTGTTCCATTTGTATTTGGAATCAAAATGTTTTCGAATACATTTTGGTCAGGTAATATTTGGCTTTGTAAAGCACATGCCTAAAAAGCAAGCAGGAACACTAAATAGTCAGTATGAACACAACTGCCTGTAATTGGTTTGGTGTTAAAATTACCCATGGTGCCTAGAGTTCAGGGACTGATCGTTGCTACCGTGACTAGCTGGGCAGGACGTTCTCTTGAGCTTGGGCAATTTGGAATTGGTATGTGGGTGATGATTACTTTCGGGAAGAAGCTGTTTTTGAGTCTGTTTTTAGTTCGGCTGCACCTGTAGCGCCTCCCTGAGGTGAAATGGAGAGAAGCCAGGATAGGAGCTGTCTTTGGTGATGGTTATGGCCCTAATAAGCCATAAACTTACTGGTATAAATGTCCATCAGACCAACGATCCTCTGATCTGTCGTTATGGCTCTGGAGCACAGCAGAGCAGCTGCCTACCACAGTGTGGTGCAGCCTGTCACCAGGCTCTCCATGAATAGATAAGGTCGACAGCAGCTTGGAGTTTAGGTTGTACTTCTTGAGGAAGAAATCTTCCTAAATATCAGACCAGTTGAGGTCAGTTTTCTCTCCGGTGCAGCGGAGGGAAACTTTGGAATGAGCTTTTATACTTGGTAAAACGGACACAATATACTTCTATAAAACAGTGCAAAAGTGTTGTCACATTTTTATTGTCCTATATTCTATTTAAATTCCCATTAATGCTTTGTAGATGTGTTTATGTAGTTTATTTAGCCTCTTTCCACACTATTACTATTTTACCAATATCTTTAATCTGTATTTTAATTGTGCAGAATAAACTAAAGTAAAATGTTTCTTCCTTTTAGACTGGCAGAAATTCACTGAAGATGGAGTTGTTGGCGGATGTCTCTCTACTTCCAGGAGAAGATCGAATTACAGGTAATGATGAAGCAACCATCAGTGATTAATGCAAATAAAATGTCTTTGCTGCAGAAAATGCACTCTATAGCAAAAAGACACTTACCCATTGGATTTAACTAATCATACAGGCTTGAGCCTGGTCAGTGATGAAACTGGTTATTTACTAGTAGAACAACCAGTCAATACTGAGTAATTCAGTTAATTTTGATATAGTGCCAATTCATTAGAGTCCCACTACAGAAAGCCTCAGTGAGACTCTGACATTTATTATGAAGCTAAACTGATACAAATATCAAACGTCCATATTGTTAAATGCCTCTTATGTTGCAAGAGTGCATTTTACCTGAGTGTATTTTTAAAAATTTTAATTTTTTTTTGAGTTTGGCAAAACATTTTGAGACACTGTAAATTTTTAGTATTCCAACATCTTGCACTCGACAAGTATATGTGAGAATAAAAATGATTTTTTTGAGTTCAGAATAGAAATGATCAAGATGTGAAACTGGAATGGGGTAAAATGACCTGGAGGTGTCGCATGTGGGTCCTTTTCATTATCAGTACAGTTCCTGTGGTTTATCACTTTTTACAATACTTTATTTTTACAAAATTAAGAATAAGCAACCATGGATTTTTTTTTTGTTTTTGCTACTAATTTTTCTTTTTTTGGTCTGTTTTTGTAACGGGCTCAAACATGACACAAAGTAAAAAATGTTGAAGTTGTGACAGTAATTTGATATTGTCTGCTTTCAGATCAGGAGATCATTTACATGTGTCCATTCAATGGAGCTGTTAAAGGGAAAGTGTTGATCACCAACTACAGACTCTACTTCAAGAGCTCAGATACTGTAAGTTTTCTAAAGTGTTTGTCGGTGCAGGCCGTCAACTGGTCAACACACAATTATTAACAGCAGGTTTGTCATTCTTCAGCTTGACATGCTGCAGTTTAACATTAATAACCTCATAGCACAAATTTTGATATAAATACAAATAAAAAAACTTGTTAAAGAAATATTTCTAATGGTAGTCTATAAATGTCCAGAATCTGTCAATAACGACTCGGAAAACTCCAGAACACAATTTGTACATTACATTTGTACCAGGAAAAAAAAAAATCAATAATCTGTAATCATGTTCAATATTCGTCCTATATGCAGTGAATTTTTGATCAGGCGTGCATCTGAACTGTGGATTCTATCACCACCAAAAAACTCACCATTTCCATATTGTTAATCAATGAGTGCAGAGATAACTGTTCCTCTGTGCGGCAGGAAGTGCCGCTGGCCCTGGACGTTCCTCTGGGCGTCATAAGTCGAGTGGAGAAGATGGGTGGAGCGTCGAGCCGTGGAGAAAACTCGTATGGATTGGATATCACATGCAAGGTGTGTAACATCTGCTTTCGCTGTTTTTATTTGAACATTCAAAAACTGAGGAGTGCAGCTCGGAGCAGTAACATTTTCCCAAATTCCATTTCTCAGATTTTTTTTTTTAGCTCTGTGCTAATTACAACCCAAGCATGTGTTGATGGTGAGTTAAGGATTTGTAGCAGTGGGCCTGATTTGAGAAGTCTTTAATTCTGGGAAAGGTTAGCTAGTTTTCCAGGGGACAAAAATGAGATGATGGGCAAGAAGTCCAGGTTCATGCAAGCTGAGTGAACAACCTGAGGCTGCTGTTACAGATGTAGCTTCTAATAGGCGTGTTCATGATGTCCTTGCCCGTTGCTGTGGCAACTGTAAGAGCCGCTGCTGGACACCAGCGATGATGCGAGCTGTCAGGAAGGAGGTTGACTCTGTTGGTTCCCTGAGACAGTGGACAATCTTCTTATTAAAACATTAGTCTTTTAAACCACTCCAATTTATATACTGTGACCATTATTTAAAAATGTAAATATGAATACCCATCTGTAATGTTTTTTCCTGTGATGGTAAAGTGTCTGATCTTTGGCTCTTCAGGACATGAGGAATCTGAGGTTCGCTCTGAAGCAGGAAGGCCACAGCAGGAGAGGGATCTTTGAGATGATCTTCAGATACGCCTTCCCTCTTTCACATAGTTTGGTAAGTTCTACTGAGAATGAGCAGAAAAATGACAAAACTCAATGAAGAATAAAGTACCAAGTGATGTATCTGTGTCCTCCAAAGCTGGTGTCCTGAAACCCCCCCACCCCCCCAAATCCAACTTGCCTGAATCGAATTATTCATCAAGCTCAAACATCCTGCTAATTATGCAATTCAGATGCGACACAGAGACAAATCTAAAAGGACTAACTGGATCTCAGCTTTTGTGTCATGTAGATGTCAACTGAAAATGTATTTGCATGTCTCCTTTCTTGCAGCCTCTTTTTGCTTATGTGAATCAGGAAAAGTACACTGAGAACGGCTGGTTGGTCTATAAAGCTATGGAGGAGTTTAGGCGTCAGGTAAACATCTGGATCATTTGCTTCTTTTTCAGGCCAGAATTTGCGTTTTTAATTTGTGTCAAATCTAAACGGCACTCGGTGCTGTACTGTGGTCAGTCTTTTCTAATTTATTGTTTTTCCTACAGGGCTTACCAAACAACAAATGGCGTATTACATTCATCAATAAGAGTTATGATCTGTGTGACACCTACCCGACTGTCCTCGCAGTCCCTTTTAAATCTAAAGAAGATGACCTGAGAAAAGTGGCCGCCTTCCGGTCAAGAGGACGCATACCGGTAAGAGCAAGCCTTTTAATCATATAAACCAATGGGATTTCTTAATATCACAGAAGTCTGGTGTTTAAATACATTCTTAAGATGCATGCACATGAGTTGGGTTACATGAGTTGTGCCTGCATCTCGCCATGCAGACGTTACCACGGTATTTCTTTCACCTGAAATTGAACCATCTTTGATTTTTGGTCCAGGTTCTGTCTTGGATCCACCGAGAAAATCAGGCAGTGATTGTTCGCTGCAGTCAGCCCCTCGTTGGAATGTCTGGTAAAAGAAATAAAGACGACGAGCGATACCTGGACCTCATCAGAGAGGCAAACGACACCACCAAAAAACTCACCATTTACGACGCCCGGCCCAATGTCAATGCGGTCGCAAACAAGGTCAGAGGGAAAAAGAAATGCTTTTAAACAATGGCGACCAAACGGGTGTCATGTTTCAGCAATTCAAACTACTGTGGTGCAACTGTCCACCTTCTGACCGCATCAGTTAGGAACTAGAAAAGGGAAATAGACAGGAGGATAGATTAGTAAAAATGTGGAAGAGTGATTAAATGTATGCATCTGTGTTGGTGAGAGTGCAGTGGAGCTTTTGACCAGCTTGTTTAGAAAAGTTCTGGAGAGAGAAGATGCCAGACGATTAGGAGTGTACTGGCACCAGTTCTCATGAAATGTTCAGAGCAGTAGTAAGAACAGAGCCACACAATGACATGTTGAGAAAGGGAGGCTGAGGTGAGCTCATGAAGAGATAAAATCAGTTTGATTTCATGCACAGGAAGTTTTCACAAGCCATATTTTTGCTCTTAGAAGTCTTGTAGAGAAGCACAGATGTCAGAAAGAGCATCATTGTGTCTTTAAGGATCTAAAAGGAGCATTATGAGAGCGTACCAAAAGAGGAACTTTCACACTGCATGAGGAAGTCGAGAGTAGCAAAAAAGAGAGAGAATAGTGGAAGACGTGCATAGAGAGAGTGACTGGTGGTCTGAGTAACTGATGGTTTCATGGTAAGGGTGTGGTTGCAGCGTGCAGAAAGGGTGGAGACAGAAGGGTAGCTCAGAGTTAAGAAGAAATCTACTGTGATATTTGGTTTGGATGCTCTGATGCTGTCTAAAATGAGTTGGAGCATTTTAAAATCAACTCCAAGGAGTTGATTTTTCCTTTGGACTAAGATGACAGGATGAGAAATGAGGTTAGAGGAAAAGCTAAGGCTGTTTTGTCGACTAAATGATGAACAAAACCACAATATTTCAGTTTTGCGGTGATAATTTTGTTTTTTGTATGAATATTGTCAGTAGAATGGCTGCATTAATCTTTTGCCCACACAGTTTGTAGAACATGAAGCAAGCATGTTTTGTTGACTGCAGGCCATCGATACAAAACGATGAATTGATGGTGCGCTGGAAATATGAAGTACTCCTGCAGCTCTAAATTACCTTTGTAGAGTATTTTTCATTTTTTTAATATATTTTTCAAATATTTGACAAGCAGTGTCTTCTGTCATTGTATCTATACCTTTTTCCCCACAGTTACTGTAGACGTTTCACTGTGCCAGTTTGCACCAGCTATTCAAACATGATAAAAAATACACAAAATCATCACTAGCAATATGGTTCAGGTTTAATAAATGGCTTTGTGGGTGGTAAATCAATGCACATGCTCCTCCCAGTATTTTTTCTCTCTAATGCTCAGCATGTTCTGCATATTTATGAAGATGTACACGATGAATAAATTGCACCTGTTGGAGTTTCCTTTAAGTTTTGTTTAGGTCTGTGATAAATACTGTGAATGTTTCAATGTTTCAGAAATTTTCTTATCCACCATTGTAACTTTAGGTTCACATTGTGTTGGCAATTTCAGGCCACTGGAGGGGGCTATGAAGGGGACGAGTACCTAAACGCTGAGCTAGTCTTCCTGGACATCCAGAATATTCACGTCATGAGGGAGTCCCTCAAAAAACTCAAAGATATCGTCTACCCAAACGTGGAGGAATCCCACTGGCTGTCCAGTCTAGAGTCTACACACTGGTTAGAACATATTAAGGTAAGCACAGAAGGATTCATTCTACTTTCAAAGGCTTCATATGTGTACTGAAAGCTCTTTGTGTGTAGCTGGTGTTGTCGGGAGCCATCCAAGTGGCAGACAAGGTTTCCAGTGGGAATTCAGTTCTGGTTCATTGTAGTGACGGCTGGGACCGGACAGCGCAGCTTACCTCACTGGCTATGCTGATGCTGGACAGCCACTATCGCACGCTAAGGGGCTTCCAGGTTGGTAACTTCACAGCAAATGGAACCGGCTGGATTCGTCCCAATTTTAAACTGTCAAACTTTTCTTTGTAGGTCCTGATTGAAAAGGAATGGATCAGCTTTGGCCACAAATTTGCATCAGTAAGATTCTGATATGTGTTTTTTTCAGAAAACTAAACAGTTGTGTAAATTTGTTGATTATAATTGCATCATACTTGCTATAAGATATGCCAATGAAATATCCACAATATTGATTGCACAAATTATTTACTAAAGGGGCAGTATTATGTAAATCCACTTCTTTGATCTTTGTCATGCTGCAATGTCATCAGAAACATACCTGGACTGTTTTGATTCTTTCATGCATGTTTGAGAAATCTGATCATATGAGTTGCGTCTCAGTGAAACGCTGGTAAAAAGGTTAAATAAAAATAAAATGCAAATTTTATGACATCTCTAAAATGGCACTCTTTGGCTAGAAAACACATAATCCGACCCCTTTAAAAAAATAAGTTGAGTTTACTGTTAACCGTTTGTGTTTTCATGTGTTTAGCGGATCGGCCACGGTGACAAAAACCACGCAGACCAGGACAGATCGCCAATATTTGTTCAGTTCATTGATTGTGTATGGCAGATGACCAAACAGGTTAGTTAAGAACCAGTGATTGGTGAGATGCTCTTAAGACATTTATTTGCACTGTTTTTAATTAACTGTTTATATCTGATGAAACTGTTAAGTCTTCAAATATATTTTTCTGGAATAAGTTGTTTTGTGAGCTTGATTGAATTGCATATATTTAAATTATAGCAGAGGAAGTTATAGAGGGAGAATAGTTTTGTTTTTCTCGTACAACTTTTACAGTTTTTCCATACGGGCTGCTGCTGTGCTCGGTGGCAAAATTAAAAAACACCCAATGAGAATATCGAATAAAACCAAGATGGTATGTAGCCTGACTACTGTAACAATAAATTGTCCTTCCACCGAAGCACAACCAATTTATAGTTAGTTTTTCTAAATTAACAGAATTTCTCTTAAACTTTCCTGAATATGAAAACTTAGAATCTTCTGGCATGTTTGTTTGGAGGCAATGAAATGGTTTCTTACAGAGTTGAGCATGGTGATTAGTCATGTTTAAACACAAAGCTAGAGTGTGGTTAACCTAATGAGATTGACTGATGGCACTAATAAAAATGTATATTATTTTTATGTATTTTTTTTAACTTTGACCTGACAGTATAATATGAGACAAATTCAATGAGCATACATTGAATTTAGCTTTTGATTTCTTCTGTAGGGCCTTCAGAAAGTTTTCTAAGCAGCTTATTTTTGTTTTTTAGAAAAATGTAAACTCAGGAATTGTTGCATTTTATTTCTGAAATTAGGTCAATTTAATGTAGAAAAATATTTAGCACAAACATGAACAGAGGTGAAATGTGGTTCATCTAAAAGTCTGTCAAGCTGTGGCTGTTTGGGTTAAGAAATGGCTCCAAGGGTTAACGGAGAATTTGGGTGCAGGAGCATAAACACATGATTGTTGGCGTCTTGGAAATGTAACCAGATTTTCTCCTCTCAGTTTCCCACAGCCTTTGAGTTCAATGAGCATCTCCTGCTCACAATCTTGGATCATCTGTACAGCTGTCGCTTTGGGACTTTCCTCTACAACTGTGAAAGTATACGAGACCAGCAGGTAAGTGACCATCAAGGGTTCCTCCTCTTATTTTTTTTTTTTTATTATTATTTTTTTTCTTAACATGGCTGTTTATGTCGGCAAACAACTAAACTTATTCGTCTTTCTTTGGTTAAAGGTGTCACATGTTGCTTCAAACCACTACAGCCATAATTAAACTTCTGAAAATCACTTTTGTTGGTGTACTGTTGCAAAAGTTTTACACACACGCAGACACGCACATCCTTGTACTTTAAATGTATACCTTTAGAAGTTTTCAGGTTTTGTTCCATCTTCCTACAAGCCTGTGAGCTTCTGTCTTCGTCAGTGAGTCATCTGTGAACCCTGAACTTTAGTGGAATTGAACCTTGCCCAAATTAATAATAATAGGAGAACATTAAATATGAGGTGTTGGATGAAGTCATGTATTTTGCGCAACTTTCACACTGAAAGGTGGCATAGGGCCGTTTTTTTTCTTCCCGGAGGTGCAGAGTCAAATTTCAGTGTATTTAGGTGAGTTTTGGCATTTTGTAGTTTGCTACTGTCCAGAGTTTGCGTTGCTGCTGCACATTTTGACAGCAGGTAAAAAGTTTGTGTATATTTAAGCAAACTTTCAGTGTTTATTTTTTACATGTCAACTTGTGCTTAAAATATGGCGCCGTATGTTTGAGGCCCCTAGTCTTAACCCACTTTTCCATTGTTATTTTTAAACACAATCCTTTGATAAGCTAGCAGTACACCTTGCACTTTGACCTCTTGTCAGGAAATAAACATGCAGTATTGAGAACGGTCTTTGGACCACAGGTTGAGAGACTGCTGTAAATCTATCTAGTTCAGTAGAGCTGCAGGAAAAGGTTCTGATTTTTCACAAATGGCCTCCTTTTGTTGGTAAATACTGTAAAAGTGGTTCTCTATCTGTAGTATGTACAAGTACACCCATACAAAGATCAACAGTCATTTTTCTGCCATCGACTTGAAATGTTTGTTTTGATTTCATTCACTTTCCTGTTGAGCGCCTTAAGACAACATGATGTGTATCAGTAACCTGATATTGAATCACTCTCTGTCTCTGACTCAGGAGCTGCGATCGAAGACGGTGTCCCTCTGGTCTCTGGTCAACAGCAAGATGGATATTTATTTGAACCCATTCTACACCCCAGAGTCTGGACAGGTTCTCTACCCCGTGGCAAGCATGCGCCACCTAGAGCTGTGGGTAACCTACTACATCCGTTGGAACCCACGTATACGACACCAGGTAGGAGACCCAGTGTGTGTTTGAAGAATGTTTTGATGCTTTGTAGCATTTTATGATTCTGCAGTAAAATCGTAGACAAATTGTTCATACATCAAAATCAACTTGGGCTGTTTTCTACAGTAAAACAGCCCAAATTGATTTTGATTTCTAAACAACTTGTCTATGATTTTGAAGCCATGGTTGAGATGAATCCATCTCCTCTGAGCTTCAGTTTTTGGTAAAACCAGCAGAAGCTTGTTGGCTCTTTTAAGGACTTGTGTTGAAACATAGGACAGGTCAGAGTGTCAAGGTGCTTCATACGTTAAAGCTGCAGTATGTAGTGTTTGTTTAAAAAAAAAAAAGTTTTTACATATTCATTGAAACTGTCACTATATTGTGACAGTTTGGTACGAGACGCATAATCTCTCCAAGTGCTGAGCGCGCTACCTAGAAATGACCAATCGGAGCCAGGAGGAGGGTCTTAGTGTTGTCAATCTCATCCTAGCTAGCACAGCTTGTCATGAATGCTAAGGCTAGTTAGCATAGCCACCATTGACATCAGATTAACAGTTCTTATTGACAAATGTATTAAAGATTTTAGATTAAACACCAACAAGGTGAATAATGGGAAACTTCTAAAATAAATTCTGAAGGCTCAGTGTGTCAGAAGTTTGATAGACTTGTCTTTTTTGAAAATGATAACTTTCAGTAACACCTGTGTGTGTGTGTGTGTGTGTGCCTTCAGCAGCAGAGTCCAGTGGAGCAGCGCTACAAGGAGCTTTTGGCCCTCAGAGAAGAATACTTGAAGAAACTGGAGCAGCTTCAGTTATCCGATTCTTCCTCTCCCTACCAGCTGGCTAACAGCACCACGCCAAACACCACCTCGTCTACAGCCTCCACACCTTCACAGCAGTACACACACCTACAGACTCCGTTTTAAAGCTCATCCTTCACAGACGAGAGGCAGAACCTCTTTTGGATTGCACTGTTCATGTCCTCTTTTATCAGTGGTCTTCTTTCTTTTTGGTCACATGCACACACTGCACAGGGAGGGGCTTGGTGTGGTTTTGAAAATTATCTTTCATTTGTACCTAATAGAAAAGTTGACAAGTTGAATTATGCAATAGCTCTCTAGCGTTTTACCTGAACATTTTAAACACGCATAGTACACAGCAAAGCTTTGAAGAATTTCAATGCTTGAAGCTTAAGGGCTCAAGAGGACAGGATGCACACACAGCCACTGCAGGTCATGTTTGCTATAGTTTATTTAATATAAACCACCGTTTAACATTATTGAGTTCATCAGAAGTTTGAATAATATATTAACTGAGAGACTAAGGTGTTTTTTTTTTTTTAATTTTATTTTTTTTTGAAGAGGACAAGAGAATAGACAATTTAGGAAAACGACTATTTGGCACCTCGAGTGTTCTCAGGCCAGTTACCAACAAAGAGAACTCAAACTCAGCCTGTCCAGAAAAATCACTTTCACTTCTACACCCACTTCTCCACCTCAGGCGAACGCAAAATCAGAAATTACACTGACGTTAAGAGGCCCAATCACCTGGCAGCTGTTTGCTTCTACTGAAAGGGAACTATTGATGTGCTTTATCTTTAGGGATGTTTGAGCTTCCATTCGGTGAGTCAAACATATCGCTGTGAGGTTTCCATGAACGGCTGCAGACACCTCGGCTGCAGACGGCTGCACAGGTGATGAGTTTTGTTTTAGTCTGAAAAGGACTCTGCCTGGCTCACTGTAGGGCTTGAGGTCGTGATTGCAGTCAAATATGCTTCGGAAATTTTTTCTTTTTTTTTTTTTTCTTTTATTGAAATTGCAAAAGTTGTATGTAGATTTCTGTAAAATTAACTGAATATCTTTTCAATAAGGGTGTAATATTACCAAATGTGGATAAATTGTGCTGTAAAGACTTCAGGCGCTGCATCTATCCCTGCTCTGATCCTGCAGTGGAACGCATTAAAGCAGCTTAGTTTGCAAATTTTTCAGATGAAGACGAAAACTTGGCAACAGATTTATTATGAATTTAAATTCAGCTATTCCTGTGAGGTCGATACACTCAGGAACTTTTTGCGATTCTTATACGATGTTGATCAGAGATGAGTAGTCATGGAGGAACTGTGTGCCTCTCTCCGCTCTGTAATAATGACAGTTCAGTGGAATGTACTGATATGTTGGATTAAAGGTAAAAACAGGTGTGGGAAAAGATGTATTTGCAGTTAATACCTACAACCAGTAAGCCACAAAAGTAATTATAAATGAGTACAAACCTGGAAGATGAGTTTCTAAAAAACAAATCATTTTGACCAACAGCAGTTCTAGTATAGTTGAATAAAAATAATAAAACTTTAGAATTGAAATGGAAAAAAACAAAGCGAAACCATACTTGGAATAATAAACACTACCCTACAACTTGTAAGCTAAGTTTTAGATGTTCTGCCATGAGTCCAGCTGCTGGTGCAGTCAATGTGTGTCCTTTGAAGAGTTGCTCCACTCATGTATCGGATCAAATTTAAAGCAGAAACTGGCAAAGAGTGTTTAAAATGACAATATTCAAAAAAACTGTTGTGAATGTATTTTAGTATTGCATACAGACAACATGGAGGGATTGAGTTTGAGGCTCTAGATGTCAAATTTAAAAGCTGGATGGTGAAATGCAAATCTTATGTGGCAGTATAAAAACAGGTTAAGTGTTTTTAGTTAACTGTTTAGGTTGACTTCCTGGATAGCAATAGAACTGAGGCTGGCAGAGGGACTGGAGTGTGCATTAACTTTGGAAGAGGGGAAAAAAAGATGTTGAAACAATATTGCATTCATATTTCTGTCTTGCATAGAAAAAAATTTGAGGGCAAGAAGTTGGATTATTGGACAGTCTCCAGTAAACTGGAGGTTCTATTAGAGCAAAATGAATCTTGTAGGGATGAAGTCAGAACTCTGGCTGTGGTGAAAAAACTGTTCAGTTAACTTGATGTTTTTGTCAGCTACAGCATGTTGTTTACCTCAAGTTGAAACTCCCTTATACTTCTTTCACTTCCTGTGGCTTAAGTGCGACTGTCTAAAAATTCAAGGTAGGTGAAATATTTAAAGTATTTCTGGATGTTTAAATTTATCAGACTTAAAATGAGTCCAGAAGGTTAAAATTTCTCTGATTTTAAAAACGGACCCCAGTGTTGGCATGTCAATCTGCTAATGCTAGTGCTAACAGGTTTTAAAATGTGCCTCAGATCAGGAGCCACATGGTGCCTTGTTCTTGCCACCGATTGAGACTGAAGGCATGCAGAGGAAAAGAAGGATTTAGTCATATCTTGGGAGTTCATATTGTGGGTACTACACCGATGCTTTTTCCCTTAGGTTTATGAAAGTTTCTAAAAAATTTAATTTTCTAAAATCGGCTCTTAAGTGATATTTTAGACCATGTCATAAATTCACTTATGTTCTTGACTCTTGAATTCAACGCTCTGATGGTCTTTAATTCTAAAATTTAGTGATGTCATTACATTAGATTTATTTTGAGCCCTTCTGAGACCGCGCTTTTGCAAATAAGTAAAACGAAAAGTGCCTTGTTTTATTAGCGCTTCCTCTTTTTAATTTAAACCCAGCCACATTTCCTTTTCCCCTCAGAACCAGAAACCCTCTTCAGTCACCACGAGTGTTTACACCAACCATACAGCTGGTGTGTGTGGGATCTCTTATTTTGACTTCCTCAGTCGACTTTTCAATCCGCTTGTAGGTTTGTTTGTCTACTTGTGCCTTTCAGTCTTGCACACACACGTTGAACTGACTGTCTGACTTCCATCGCCTGCTCAGTGCTATATTACCTTTGTCCATCTACATTCTACCTCTTCACCATACAAACGGCTGATTAACCAGAAAGGCTTACTGCTGCCACCTTCTGGAGACCTGGGGAAAAGCTCAGAGCTCCTGTATGTGTAGGTCAGTTTCAACTCAAATAATGAAATGAAACTCGTGAGCTCGATGGAAGCTACAGCAAACATTTATTTTGGCAGAATTGTTAGCTTTTTAGGAACAAACTATTTTCTCATTTATTTAATTTGCACTATAATGTCGTTAGCTCAATCAGAACCTGTTTTGTTGTCTAAAACCTATCTCTTTATTTACCTTTCTGTTGAATCTTTGAGTTCAGAGGGAAAACATTTTAACCAGTTTGACTTAGAAGTTGTGGATATGAATTTTAACTTTGCTTTTTGGCTGAGGGGATCAGAAGGTGCTGATGTTCCTGATAAACTCTCTGCATGTTCGGCTCCTTGGTGAGTCTGACAGTATCCGTCTTCATCCACCTCAGAGTGACGGCTGTGGAGGTCGAACAACTGTAAACTGATGGGATTGTGGGGCATTGGGAAAATAGTTCCATTTGCTTTTGTTTCTAATATTTCTTTTTCAAGTTGTATTCAGTTTTTTTTCCGAATTATGTCTTCAGTGTAAATATTTTATTAAATTACAATTTTCTGAAATCTCAACTTTTCTCTGCATTGATTGGTGTCATTTGGACAGATTCAAGTTTCAGCTTGTCAGCTGCTGAATGTTTCACAGATTCGTAAACAAGATTTATCTAATTTCTGCTAATTTTACTTTTTTAAACACATGATGCAGTTCCAGTTATACTTTTCCCCATAAATTATTTTTATTTTTTAATGTTTTCTCAATTCCAGTTTTTATTTAGTCTTAACTGTGATAACTTTGGTTATCAGTAACATTGAAAGCCTCATTTTCACCACTAATATGTCCACCCTTTCCTACTTCCTGGTGGAAAGTTGTTGCATATTTTCTATGTTCATTTATGACATAATTGATTTTCCTACCAAAGAAATATTTGGTGTGATTTTCTCCCTGTTCAAACTATTTAAAAAAACTGATTAGTTCACCTTGTTTGAAGCTTTGTCTTAATACATTTTGTCCAATTATTATTGGACAAATTATTAATAATAAATTATTATCTTTTATATAGTTTTTCAGTTAATTTTGGGTTTGATCTACATCCTGCAGATAATAGAGATGTTTATAATATTGTAGGTGTACAGAATATGACCGGACCAGAAAGAAAGACTGGCCGGTAATTGCACATCAATTTTATATTTAGTTCATTACCAGGGTATTCATCTTACCAAGAAGTTGGAAAGTAGAAAATTATACATGTTTGAAAAGATTTGATTTCCATTATAGTATGGTGGCAAAGACTGAGGGACAGCCATGAAAATGCTTATTGATAGTTTCTGAAGAAACGTGTGCTGGGTAGAGTAACAAGATAACTGAGGCCATCAGCTAAAAATGTCTTCAGAGAAACGAGTCCACTGCTCCTCTAGAGGTTACACTGACTGATGGAGGAAATAAAGGATTTCAATCACATGAGTTAAGATTTTTTACCTGAAACTCTAAATGTTGCTAAAATTTTTAGCAAACTTTGAACTATGACATTATTTGAATGACATTAAAGATGAATTTAAGAAAAAAAAGAAGCTGAATCACACGAGGCCTTATTGTATGGAATCCCATTTCCGCCACTCTGTTTAAAAAATAATCTCAGTATATCAAAATGAGAATCTCAGAATGCTAGCATCTCGTTATGAGATACTATTAAATCTCATAATGATGGTAACGGAAATAAATCAATTTCCAAACAATTTCAAAAATGTATAATTTGATAGTATCTCATCATGAGATACTATTATTTTGAGATACTACATTTTTGAGATATCTCGAAATAACGAGACACTTGAAATAATGAGATGTGGTATGTTCAAATAATGAAACGGTATCTCGAAATAACGAGACACCATCTCGAAATAAGACATATCTCGAAATACCGAGACACTATCTCCAAATACCGAGATACGGTATCTCGAAATACCGAGATACGGTATCTCCAAATAACGAGATACGGTATCTCCAAATACCGAGATACGGTATCCCCAAATAACGAGATACAGTATCTCCAAATAATGACAGTTTCTCGAAATAACGAGATACTATCTCGAAATAACGAGATACAGTATCTCCAAATAATGAGACAGTATCCCCAAATAACGAGATATGGTATCTCCAAATAATGAAACGGTATCTCGAAATACCGATACGGTATCTCGAAATAACGAGACATAATTTCTCATTATTTTTGAGATACTATCTCATAATGAGATCATATCTCATTATTATGAGATACTTTCTCATAATGAGATTTTTTTTAACAGAGTGGCGGAAACGGGCTTCCATATTATTGTCATTAGTACTGTACCAAAATAACACTGTGTGGATATTTACAGTAATATAAGAAATTTGGTAGAGTAAGACCTCCTGCAAGTGGAGGTTAGTATAAAATGTGTTTCAAAAACCTTTCAAAATGGAGTTTTAGCTGGTAAGGGAAAACATTTCTATCAAACTAAATACAGCAAATAATTTCGTTATAGTGCACTGATCACAGAGCAGGTTCTCTGTCCAGCTTCTGTTTATTTCTTTATTTTCTGATGCTTTGAATTCAGAAAATACACCGATGACATTTTCCATGAAACTTCCTGCAGCTGTGAAGAAGCTGAAGCTGACCTCAGTGGCCGCTCCTGGCCTGTCGTTTCCTGTTGCTGAATACAGAAAACATGAAGCAGATCAACGATGTACTGCATGAAGGAGGCGGAGCTGCAGAGAGGAAGAGATGCTGCTGAGAGGAAACCGCAGAGCCGAAACCGAAGCAACACAGAGACCCGGAGTGGAACGGAACCGAGTCGAGCTGAAAGCGGCCCGAATCTCATCTGACTGAACTCTTCGGCAAATGGAGAAAAAAGATGGAGCCAGACCGATCCCTAGCGCCTGGAGTGTTCCGACCTCCAGTCCACCCAGCTCCGATACAGCGGACAGGTCAGCAGGTTTAGACCCAGCTTTACTGACTTACCCGGTTCAGTAAAGTTACATCAGTTTGGCAGCAGGATGTTTCCCTCGTTCGCAAATTTGTTGTTTTTGTTCCCGACTGAGTTAAAAAAAAACGATTAAAGTAGGTTATAATAAAAGTTATCGCATTTGTTAATAAACACAAGAGTATAATGGAGTTGTAGCAATAAAGGTATTTGGTTCGAATGTCTTCTATGGCTTTAAACAAGTGACAAAAAAGGTATAAATAAAATAATTTTCAAATGAAATGAACATAATTTGAGGACACGACTGCAGCCTGCTCACTGCCTTCCTGTTTTATTCCGCTTGATTAAAATCTCGCTTCACAGGCAGTCTGGGTTTTCTCCCGTTCACTTTGATTCCCTGTTTTATCAATGGCAGCCCAGGCCCTCTGTATGAAGCAGATGGTGTAGATTAAGGGCCTGGTTTCTACCAGGTTAGACTAACGGAGCTGTAGTTGTGATTTTCAGATGATTTAAACAAGATTGAGTAACATTATGACTGCTGCTGTTTATTTAACATCAGATTCGGTATCTTTGATGTTTGGTCTGTGACATAGAAACCCTTGTACTTGTTTTTTGAATCCATATGTCTGTTTTTACATAGTTTTATAAATGAATGAAGCGTCGTTTATCGTCTATTCATAAACCCTCTTGGTATTCTCAGTTCTTTGGTCTACAGTTGCTTCTGAAATTGTTTTCAGAGTTTAACTGATGGTATTTTAACTTTGAGAAGTTTACGGTTTGAATGGAAACCGAAATAGGAACAAACTAAGTCTGAGTTTTTCTGAGCTCCCTTTCCGGTCATTCCTTCAGTTCTGCAGGTTCCCATGTGGAGTGGTGTAAGCAGCTAATCGCAGCCACCTTATCCAATCAGGTCCCAAGAACAGCGCCACCAGATGTTTTGAACAGGGACACCAGGGTAACTATCGCACACCATCTAAAACT